ACCATTCCTTCCGATTGGAGCACCTCAGTTCTGCTACCGTTCCACAAAAAGGGAGACAGGTCAATATGCGAGAACTACCGAGGCATAAGTCTGATTGATATCGCTGCTAAGGTTTTTGTTTCCATTCTCCTGAACCGCTTCGCGGCCGAACGCCACGTGCGAACAAGGCCAAATCAAGCCGGATTTCGACCTGGAAGAGGCTGTGTTGATCAATTATTCACACTGCGAAGAATTTTGGAACACAGGGACAAATTCCAACAGCCGACGGTTGCTTGCTTCATCGACTTCCAAGCGGCATTCGACTCAGTTGATCGAGGAGCACTCTGGTATCTAATGGAGCTCGACGGAGTTCCGACCAAGCTAATCAACCTGCTCAGGTCATACTACTCCAACACCAAAGCTCGAGTCCGAGTGAACGGTGAAGAGTCCCGCACTTTTGAGGTAACCAGCGGTGTCCGGCAAGGTTGTCCAGCATCCCCCATCCTGTTCAATTTCACAATTGATTGGATTTTGCGGCACGCCCTAACCGAGCACCACGGCGTCCAACTTTCGCCCGATATTCACATAACCGACCTCGAATTCGCCGACGACGTCGTGCTGTTAGCTGAAAACTTCCCCGATATGCAACAGGCGCTCGACCAGATAAACCACCTCGCGTCTACTATCGGTTTGAAAATTAACACTTCCAAAACCAAAATGTTTTCGAACACATCCACCAGCAATGATGAAATCTTATCCTTAAATGGAGCACCTATTGAAATTGTGCCATCCTTCAGATATCTGGGATCCATAATGCTCCCCAACGGCCAAGCGAAAAACGAAGTGAATGCGCGAATCTCCAACGCCCGGAATGCGTTTCTACAGCTGAGGAGCGTTCTATGGAGCAAGAGAGAAATCAGTCTCAGGACTAAAATTCGGATCTACCAAGCTTCCATACGACCCGTTCTGCTGTATGGCTGTGAAACCTGGCCTCTTCGCGCGGAAGATTTACGCAGACTCGAGGTATTAGACCATTGGTGTCTCAGGTACATTCTGCATGTTCGTTGGCAGGACAAACTCTCCAACGAAGAAGTGCGTCGGCGTTGCTACAACATCAACCAAATTCCAGTACTGGTCCAACAACGCCGCCTTCGGTGGTTTGGCCATGTTCTGCGCCGACCAGATGACGATCTGGTCAAATCAGTTCTAAATCCCTCGCCATTACCATCTTGGCGATGTCGCAGAGGCGGACAGCTGAAGACATGGCTTGGTACAGTCAAGGCAGATATGGAGTGCCTGGGGCTACAAACGGTCTACGGACTCCGTATGTGGAACAAGAATTGGATATCCCTATCGCAAAACCTTGCTTCAGATCGCCGCGCCTGGGCAGCGATGATTCGAGACGTTCATGAAGCCGGCTCATCCTCCCGTAGGAGATAGCCGAAGTAAAGTAAAGTAAGTAAGAAAGTATACTTCAGTTTACAGTGAAAGTCATTGTTGAAAAATGTGTAGGAGTCAATTTCGATTTAACTGTGCTCATTTTAGAAGCATGACTTGATTATAAAATAATCATCACTATAGTTAAGTTTGTGCGTCGGTGGCACAGCGGTTAGGACGCTCGCTGACCATGCACAAGGTTCGGGGTTCGATCCATGGCCACAGACGCACTCTTTTACCTCGCTAAGCCAGTAATAGAACTGACAAAGAGGGAAGGTTGAGCATGAGGCTAGAAACCCCATCCTGTAAACATAAACACTGCTACAGAAACCTGAAGCCTGTACCTTGAAGCCCTATGTTCCACTGGGGACGTGAAGGAATTAAAAAAATCACTACAGTTTGGACTCTTCACTAATCTACAAACAAGAAATAGATTTTATTGTCAAAAATAGGCTGTAGGATGACTGACTGCCCTTAAAATGACAAAAATTATCGAACTGTGGTAATCTGTGCCCGTCACCCAACAATCGGGTTTGTTATAATAATGGTTAAACTACGCACAACGATTAATTCACTTGTCGTCCACAACTCCGACATACGTTGTTCTAGTACTGTAGTATACAAAAAGTATACATGACATAATCTTACTAAATAAAGGGGTTTAAGTAAAGTGTTACACGGTATTTTTACTTTAATAGCATACCGAAATACTTCATTTACTAAACAAAATAACTTTACCTATGTGTCAGGTCGTGTTGTTATGACTGAATAGTTCAACAAGACTCAGTTTAGCATTATATGGTTAGAGAGTTTAAAATATACTTCAAATATACTATTTGGTTGATGGTGGTTAGTGGTGTTATCCAAGATGCGCGTTTCGACCTATTTGGAACTCAACAGCTGATTGTACTTGCACCCTAGTGAATAGTGATGACATCGTCCCTGAGACTTGAACCCAGCACCCTATCCCTTAGACTACTTGCCTCTATACAAGGAGTATACATGCCAACAAAGACCGAGCATTTTGGTCTAATAACAAGTCGATTGAAGGGAAATACACAATAACTTAGATAGATACTTCATCTACGTCAGTAAAACCATATGTGAAATTTTATGCCATAACCTGATTGACTGAGTTTCAACGTAGAACTTTGCACAGGAGTGCAGAACAGTTTACGATGCTACACTCCACACATAGCGCACAAGGGTAGTGAAAAGTAGGAAGAAAAAGAGGCCCAAGAGAATTAAAATGAACAGAAATGTGCAGGAGGAAAAATAATAACATGGAAAAACATGGGGGTTTAGTGGATATGAGAGACCATAAAGAGTGGATGATTCTCAGCGAGAGAACGATTTTGAGACATATCCCCACTCCTTCACGTGGCCGGTTTAAACTAACAGTCAGAGATATCACATGCACTAATGCCAGATTTTGTTTTAATTACCCTTAACTTTTTTCTAAACTAATCCTATGTCAGCTAGCATCGCTAGTCGAGAAAGATGATGGCTCAGAATACGTACGCAATACGTGTCCTAGACATCTCAATCTAAGTAGCTTCACAATGTCATCGACTGGCTTTCCTTCGTTACCTACCACTCTACAAATAGGCTCAGTACGGCTCATCATGCTGCACCAGTTAACATGGGAAACAGAGCAAGAACATCTGTGATCACGTATTTGAATGATTTAGAAATATTCAAAACATATTTTGATTTACAAGTTGATATTATTTAGCCAACCTGCGACCGATTAATAATAAAATTCAAATATACATCCTTCTAAATGTTAATTAAATTCTACACACATTTTAACCCCATTTATTTTAGCATCAGTATCAGGTAAAAGTAAGTACAGTGGGAAAGATAAAGCTAAAACTTCCCTTCTATGAAAGTTTATGAAAACCAAAATATAACGGACAGCAGTTATAAATGCAATCAGACAAAAAAAGTGAAAGCTATTTAATTGGTGAATGGTGACTAGCAGTCGAATCCAGGATGCGCATTTCGTCCAATTTGGGACTCGTCATCTGGATATACCTGCATTTCTCAGTGAGTGATGATGTTCCCGCTGAGAAGTGGCTCTCGTGGCCCAAGTGGTCTAGTGGATAACGCTTTGGCGTTTGAAACTATAGGCACTAGGTTCGAGCCTCGGTGGGAACATTATCACTCACTGAGAAATGCAGGTACATCCAGATGACGAGCCCCGAACAGGAGGAAATGCGCCTCCTGGATTCCACTGCTAGTCACCATCCACCAATTAAATACTAACTAAATCCCCAGAAATCGTCGAAGCATCTGCACAAGAAGCCGACATGTCAACCTGAAACCGAGCACTTCGGTCCAATCAATCGACGGGAAAATACCAAATTCAATTAAAGTAAAGGTTTTGTAAATCCTTTCATAAAAGTGTAACAATTCACACCAATTAAATGGAGAAATAAACTGTAGCGTATTTCTCAACAACTACTTTCATTCCTATACATTTGGAGATGAACCACACCTATTACCATGAGAGCTAATGATACTCTACCTGGTTAAACACACCTTGGCAAGTGAAAAAACCAATAAACTCATTCAGAATATACAGAGGGAGGTAAAGTCAAAAATAAACGAATATTAACAAACTGCTGAAAACCTGGAAGACTATTGAAACATTATACCTGTATCTCAGCAACTAATTTGACATTGCAGACTCGAATATTATCTACTGAACACTTCAAAGGATCCAAGGGTTATATAGATTTAACCTATGCTCCAAAGCTTCATGGACTAACCCTACGCATAACTAATTTGTAAACAAAGCCTTCTGTAAATAACAACATACATAACAGGAGAAGGAAGGCTGGCAAACGTGACATATCTTTTTAAACACCTTAGTCAATACGAATTTTCAATCAAACGTCAATCAAACAACTTTTGTTAGGTAGTACTCACAGCTTAGAACACTCGTATACGTCAGTAGTCTTATTATGACAATTCGGTTTGACAGCCTGTAATTTCATTAAGGGGACGCCCACTTTGGCCGATGTAATGCCTGTTACAGTTCATACAATTTATTTTGCAAATGATATTAATTTTATCTCCTTTTTCTGTTACATCTTTCGGTTTGCACAATATCAAATTAAGTGATTGGACTGGCTTGTGTGCTATATTTATATCAAACAGTTTCAGTATTCTAGCTGTTATTTCAGATATGTTTCTCATGTATGGTAGGATGAATTTTCTTGTCGTCTTTGATGATGGTTCTTTGTTGGTGTTGTAATTTGATGAAATTTTGTGGATATCCATACGCTTTGAAGACCGTTTGTAGGTATTTTTCTTCCATTTTTTTTCAACTCTGGAGTGCTGCAATGTGTTTGAACTGTTTTAAACAATGTCTGCACACAGTTTCGTTTCGGAGTAACTGGATTATTGCTAGTACAGTTGAGTATTTGATCTGTGTGCGCTAATTTTCTATATACTTGTGATTCTAAATTTCCTGTGTTAGTTCTCCTGATTAAGACATCTAAAAATGGGATTTTCGTAATTAAATTACATTAAGGAAACAGAAACACACATACAGAATGAAAATACAATAGCCTTACTTTAGTAATTAGAATTCGATAAGCATCCATTAAGCCAGTTTCATCAACAGGACAACCAGATAATAATTGCCAAACTTCAGCTCTTAAAGCATCTGGTATACCACGACTAACTAATTTTTTAATTCTTTGACAAAATGCAGATCCTAAGTGAGAAATATGCGGACCAGAAGAACCACTGTGTAATAATTCTGTTCTCAGAGAATTTGTCGACACATTAAGACCATTAGCTTGATCTTGTCGCACTTTATTGTGCCATTCAGTAACTAAGTGACCCCATTCAATTAGTAATTGATCATCTGTCACTTCTCTGGAGACAATTCCATTACCACTCATCAAGGGTTCATTATCATCATCTGGTAAAAAGAAACGATGAAGGAGAAAGTATTATTGATTACATGTCAACTTTTAAAATGAGTTAATATATTAGGAAGTATGAAGGAAGAAAAAAACATTAACTCAGAGTAAATAGAAAAAATGAGAAGTTTGCCTCAATGTGAATATTTCATATAACCATGGTTATGTATATTCTGAGAGGAATGTACTAATTCAAATAAATAAATATTTGATAGTAGATAAATAAATGTGTATATTTCTCCCTATGTATTTAGATACTGTCATGACAACAGCCTCTTTTTTTAGTCCATTATAACATTAAGTTACACTAGAGTAAATACACAAGTTACATAAGTGTATATTTGACACAATCCTATAACCATGCCAACTGATTTATACACACCCACTTTACATCACGTTACAGGCCGTATTCGAGTGAAATTTGAATGGGAAGCAACGAAATAGCACGGAGGTGATCATGTGAGGAGGAAATAAACAATTGTGGAACCAGCTAGAAAAGATCACAGAGATGATCACTGAGAATCTAAGACACGAATAATAAATGTATGATCATTTAAAAAACAACCTAATTTTCACACTCCTGAATCGACCATCACCTGCAATTCGCCCATAATTGCCAGTGAATACTAGTCCTCGAACAAAAGTAGACGCCTGAATGAGATGAATTTGCTGAAGTCCAGTATCAGACAAAATCACTTCTGAGGCAATAATAAACGGATCAACAGACTGCATCAGATAGGCTGACGCCATTATTGTAAAAGATTTGAAAGGAAGGAAAAGATGTCTACTGATTGGAAGAAAGGCTGGTTGCATTGTCAAGATGTCAAGGAAGGGAGACTCACGCCAGTGCAAGAACTGGCGTGGAATAATGCCAGTTTTTTCCATACCAAGTAAAATACTAGCTCGTGTCATCGTGCGGAAAATAAAGAATGCACTGGATGAAGGACTGCACCCGGAACAAGCTGGATTCAGGAAAGGCAAATCAATTGCTGACCGAATTGCAACTCTACACATCATCATCATCATCATCGAATAGAGCATAGAATAGCAGTCAAAACTCTCACCACCTCAGCTTCATCGACTTCGAAAAGCACTTCGACAACGTCCACCGAGAAGTAATTTGGAAACCACTTCAACACTATGGCCTGCGGTGACAAAATGTTCACCAACTTCATTCAACAGCTGGCTATATGACAGTGTTACGTGTCAGGTGATCCACAACGGAATATAAATATATTATTTTCACTCTTGCATAATGACTTCAAATATTTAACCACACGCATATAATGCATTGAAGATATGTGTGAGTAGACAATGGGAAAGTGCTCCTTGTTGTTACATCCTATGATCGGGAAAGCAAGGCAAGCTTTCATTACTCTCAAGTCTGTGTGGAGGTCAACAGCACCCACATCAAAAATAATATCCGGATTTTCAACTCCAATATAAAATCAGTCAGTGCTACTCACTATACGGATCAGAGACTTGGCGCGTCATAAGGAGCACCTCAAACAAACAACAGACCTTCATCAACAGCTGTCTTCACTCAACACTACTCAGTATCAGATGGTCGGCCAGAAAAGATCAGCAACAGGGATCTCTGGCAATCAGCGAACCAACTCAGCAGGAACTAACTGCGCAACAAATCTGAAGGAAGAAATGGAGGTGGATTGGTCATACTCTGAGAAACCATCAAGTGACATCACACGACAGGCTTTTGAGTGGAACCCGAACGCGGAGCGGCGAGTTGGTCGTCAGTGCAAGGGTGACATGGAGGAGGTCATGTGAAGAGGAGATAAAGCAGGTAGAAAGATGTGGAGCCAGAGAACCGAACGCAATGGAGACATGTGGCTGAAGCCCTATGTTCCTCTGGGAACTAAAGGAAACAATAATTATAATTATAATTATAATAATGATCCTCCACAAGTTTCGGAGCGAAACTGATATGTATCCACATAATATGTGTGTGTGTTGTTTTTGACAGTCTGTTATACTTTGTTATGTATACATGGATCGATATTCCATTATAATTGACAATATGTTTTTGTCTGTCCACTAACTAAACAAACATGTCTGACCTTGTTGTCACATGACATTACAACCAATCATGTTAAGACTGTCTATTGATTCGTTCATTTTTGAACATTCGCTCATACACTTGTGTGACATTGATTTTCCTTGTTTGAAAAATACAAATATCATCATGAACCTGGTGGTTTTCCGATTTCCGCCTTCTTGGATCAGGACTATTAATTACTCGACCAATACACAACAGAAACATCAGGCTTCAACAGCCCATTTCTATTTAACCTTGTTCTCTGAGGACTATTTTAAATGGCTCCATGTTTACCCATAACTTCTTATCTCCTCCTCACACATTCTCCTCTGTGTTATCACCAGTTGTCCAAATCCTCATTTCCAATCCCGGTTCCTCTCTGGAGCACGTGCATTGATGCATACTTGTTCTGTATTCTATAGAAGCTTGTGCGAGTAATACAGTTTTCTGAGAGGAGTGATCACTTATTGACACAATATCGACGAGTGCTATCCATAGATAATTCATAATTAGTACTATTCTAGTTTACTCTCTTCTCGGTTAAATTAATTTGTCAGTTGCAGCACAGATTAATAAAATGCAAAATCAAAAATCAAAATAATAATTTGAAAGTATTTTGTTTGATGGATGAAGCCCAAAGAAAGTGCGTGTTAACTTTTTTTTTCCCTTAAACAATATACCTTATGCATAAAGAAAATTAACAACATTAGATTAGACATTGTATTCAGTCTCTGTACTTTTTTCTGTCTACTAAATACCCAGCTACGGTATTGATCACATGAATGAACTGAGTTATTTGCATGCAAAAATGACTGCTGACTAGGCCTGTGTCTGCATATACCAACAACATAAAGTAACCTTTACTAACAAGTAACAATGTTTATGCACAATGGAATACTAATGAACACAAATCATATAGTTAAACAGATGTGACAGACTACTTATAATTAATTATGAAAATAACCACTCACTCAATAAAAGGCGATAGTTGTTATGCTTAGTTAGTTAGTTGATACACTTAAGGTTTAGTATTTCACAAAAAAAATACGCAACTGAAGATGAAAACATTGAAAGAGTTAAACACATGAGCTCTAGTCTAATGCTAATTATACTTGGAAAGATGTCCCCCACCCCACCCCACCCCCCACCATCCCACAAGGTGAATACTGAGACTTTTAAACATTTATGTAAGGCATTAAGAATTCATAAAATGAAAGGCGAAAGAAATCAAAAGAAATCTGAATTGTTGTCAACATTATCATGAAAATCAAATGCTCGCAATAATGACATACAAGCTTTACAGTATATCTGAAAAGCACTCACTCACTCTGTAATAAACAGTATACAATGATGGATCAGGATTACACACAATAGAAAACAATCCTAAGTGCTGGAATATGAGAAAAATTAATGAACTACAGCACACCATAGTGTGATGCTTGTTACCAAAATGAATACATAGAAGAATGATTTGATATACATCGTTTACATATACCAGTAAATGCAAATTAATCAGATTTTAGCATTGAGGTGAGGAATATGAGATTCGTTACAGGATTTCATCATGAGCTGATATCAGTCGCATTGTGTCGTCAATTGGCAGAAGTTGAAATTCATGGACTATTGGATCGAGTCCCAGTGGTTTAATCGTCTGCGAGTTGACTCGCCTTGTAACCAGAATGTCCTGGGTTCGAACCCCCTGCGGTGGATGCGTACTGATGAGGCATCCCAAACTAGGCTGACGAAACAGCTGTCCAGTACTCCAAGGTTTTCTCATGGTTTTCTAACCGATGTCAGTTCATGATAAAATTCTGTGACCAATCAGTAAAATCCCTACAAGCCAGCACTTGAATAAAAGATTCTTGTGGAATCGTTTCAATCACGAGTATTTCAAGTAGATTTGATAATGATGAAATCACTAAGTTTACAAGTAGTAATGTAGTTACTACAACATCGAAATATTCTGTGATCACTTCTATTTTGGTTGTGTTATTTAAAATAATCACTGTTGATTTAATTCCACCTTGTGTGAACTCCACGGTTGTGAATGATAACTTACCTAAATAATGCAGTTGTCTTATAACAATTAGTGCTCTGTACACTTCATCTGTATATGCTCAGAATATTGACTTTACAGAATAATACTAATGGCACATGTGTTAAAGGATTACAGCTACTGTCGTTAAGACTAAAGTTATAAGATATCTATGACACCACAGCAAAACCCGCATATTATAAGGGAGATAAGTAACAGTTATTGAAATCAGTTTTGCATTCTTACTAAATAACTTTTCTCTTGCACACGTATATAGTGACATCTTTAACGGGGTTGTTATTAATGATGAGAATGACCAGAATAAAAGTTTGACAGTAAAGCTTGTCTCCAATTTCAAATCTTTTCAAAAGTGAGTGTATACCAACCTTAACAAATTAATATCCAAGTTTAAGTGTTGGTTTGTAGGGATTTGGTTGGTTATTGAGAAGTGAGAAGTCGTGACCAGTAGGGTGCAGCAGGTCGAGTGTGAGGACAAATACTTGCTGAAGACATTGGCTAGGGGTCGCGCTATGTCATGAATTCGCAGAGGTTAGAATTCATGAGCCATTGGATCGGGTCCCAGTGGCTTAATGGTCTACGAGCTAGCTCGCCTTGTACCTAGAAGGCCCTGGGTTCGAACCCCCTGCGGTGGGTGCGTACTGGTGAAGAGTTCCAAACTAGAACGAAACAGCTGTCCAGTGCTCCCAGGTTTTCCAATGGTTCTTTAACCAATGTCACCTGATGATGAAATCCTGTAATATCCAAGTTATTCAATCATCGTACCACGTAGGTTATAGATTGATTCTATTATGTGACAGGTGTGAAATATTGTATTACCACCACTAAAAGGCTAAAAATTCTCACGGAAGAAAATCGCAACAACAACTAGTCATGAATAAGGCCAGTGTAGTTGATTGGCCAAAAGCACAAAAAAGTAATAGAAACCATTAAAACAGTATGTGGTCATATGACTGACTCTCTATAAATATGTCATGCACACATATACACTACAATATCTATGAAATATTGATTTACATACAAATAAGAAAGAAAATGACCATTTCTTTTTTCTTCTGCAGTAATGAGCACTATCAATAAGCCTAGTGAGTGCAGATAGACAGTATAACTGATAGTGTAGGATATCAAAAATACTCCCAGTTTGAATGGGTGTCATTTGGACACAAGTAAACAAACACGAAACATTCTTGATGTAATAGGCCAAAGTATACAATCACGAAGACGAAATTTTGTATGACTTCATAACTTTGAAACTTAATAATTACCCTGATAGATTAATCAGGAAATATGTAGCAAAATGTAAAACAGATTAATAATGATGGTAGTGGTAGTGACAATAGTAGTAATAGTTTTAATGACGACATGCATGTCAAACATGCAAAGAGTAATGACAACAACAATAGGGAATATAAATCATCAGTAGTAATTCTGTACAGTGAAGGAACCTCAGAAACCTTATGCCGGAGAATTCTTAACAATACAGGCAGAAATAAAAGTGGCATTCAAATCCACAAACTTAATTAGAAACAAGCTTTGTCAGTTAAAGGATCAGTCCTGTGGAGCCTATAAAACAAAACAATTCAGTTTATCTAATACCCTACTTGAAATGATTGTCAGGTCGAAGCAGTAGGATGGGATCAGTCAGACCAGCGGAGCACAAAAACCTAGCAGAAACTAGAATAAAATTGACCCTAATGAGATAAGAAATCTGCAGAATAGTTCAGCTATAGCACTCAGTACATGGACTTACACACACCCATACCATAGGATAGGATAGGATGACAGTTTTAAAATCTAATGTAACAACTGGGTGGAGGCAGAGATTGATAACAGAAGCTTTCTTCATCGAATCAACTCCAAATACGTGTAATAGGAATGATTTAACACCTGTCCACTCGAATATCTGGAAAATTCTACTACCCATACGATAAATAGGAAAGAATAAAGAAAACTATAAAACTCAAGATTCGAAGTCGTTTGATTATAATTGATATGATTATGAACAATAAATTTTGTTCGAAACCTTTTCATCCAGTAAATAATACTGAGTCAAATAACAAAGCTAAGAGCCCAAGTTTTACACATATATTAACTTTGAAGCCTAAGGCTGTGAAGCAAATGTTACACATTAACAAAAAATCTGAAAGTGTCCGAATAAACACCTCAAAAAATAATTCCCAATTCACAATTTTATTTCAAATATCTGAATAGTTTATTACTTCAGTTATTACATGAACGTAGTAATAGTATAATATGTGTCGTTGTCAGGGTATTAATACATAATTACTGGTTTTGTAAGCATACCACCGATGTGAGTAATTGTAACGGCTTACCTTCAGATGGATTGGCAGCAGATGGAACACCTGGAGTAATTTGATTATGATCTGGATGAAAAGCGACTACATCTGTGATTCCAACTATTTTACCAGCATACAGATTGCCAGTTTCATCTATACTCTGTAAAGAGAAAAAAATAAATGTAAGGAGAATAATACTCTACTGATGTCATTGGAATGCTAAGAATTAGTTGGTTAAACACAGTAGTGATCATAAGTCCCTGCCTCATTATCTCCGATTTTCAGAGAATCCTCATTACTCTTCATGTGATTAATTCCATTTGTGGTATCACTACATATCTTATCTTGTCCCTCTTTATCTTTTGAAGTGTTATGATATGTTCAAGATTATGGGCTAGTTTGCATTTCAGACAGTTAGTCAGTGGCGGAAATGCATAATAAGGAAGACAAAAAGAATGAGAAGGGTGGATAACTGAAGAGTGCTAGGATTTCGATGATGAGATGTCAATACATCTTCACCACAGTGAACAGTTTAGAGCCACATGACAAAGAGTCACCAACCATTGGATCTTAGCATATTTTTTTCCTTCACGTTCCCCAGTGGAACATACGGCTGCAAGCTAGAAGCTTGAAGTTTCTGTAGTAGTGTTTATTTTACAGGCTCAGCGAAGTAAAGGAATGAGTCTGTGGCCGAGGATTGAACTCCGGACCATGTGCACGGTCGGCGAGTGTCCTAACTGCTATACCACCGACGCACAATCTTAGCATATGTTGGACCCCAATTAATTAATTTATTAGTCAGTCCTCTTACATATTTCAGACAACTAGACAATCAAATCGTGGATTTGTCCTGGGATTGGTACGATGAAATTTTACTCTTTTTCAACCTAATCCTAATATAGCTGACAGTGGATATCACATTAACTGATGCATAGGAATAAGTGACACACATCGTAATCATGTCAACTTATATAGTCTCATCGATAGAGTAACCCTGACAACCTAATCCTATATTACTCAACATATTGGTCGATATAACGCTAGAAATTGAACAAAAGTAACATTAAGTGAAAACGGCTAATCTTTTGATGTTATCCATTTCCATAGACTAGGTTTCACAACAGTAAAGTAGAACAAACAGAAACTGATGTCTAGTGTATATATCTCCTTTGATTGGTAGCTATCATATACATCAGTGTCGAGGATCACAAAAGATACCACCAAATGTCAAATGAAGCCATTAAATTTATCCTGAGATTTTATCAGTAACCCAATCAGTGAAAACATACACGACTTTACAACTAATTGAAGTGGTCAACATAAACTGGTCGCTGACACACAGCAATCATGTAGCAGACAGTAAAACCTATTGAGATTTATCCTCAGAATGTATAGAAAACTGTGTTTTATCGATGTCTTTATACAGATGAATTAACTCATCGTCTTACTCTAAACCAACAAAACTTTTTCCAGATAAGAAGTCAATTCCTGAAATGTGGAAGTGAGATAAACATACTTTCGTGTGTATGTTCACAACTCAGTTAGATCAGAACTGTGAGACAATAAATCCCTGACGAATATTTCTGATTATCACTTCAGATTAGAAGGACAAATCTACATAAGCTAATGCACAATTGCATGGGCGCAGTTAGTGTATTCCCTTCACAGATTATGCTACTTGAAAGGATTAGCTCCTGAGTTTCAATATATCAAAAGTGTCAAATGAACAGAGTCACTGAGATGATTACGAAAAATCTACCTTACAATAATCACGAGATTCTGTGGTTAGTCCTAATGGATCTGTCAGTGTATTGATTGCATTAGACTCGTGAGCACAAAGCTTATTGCTTGACTGGATTAGATATTATAGTCTTCCATAAAGTTATCTGATTTATGACTTGATACTATGAATTAGCAGACTAACGATAGCAGACTAATGTTTATTACAGGTTCTAACTTTACGAAAATAATGAAAATTATCGGATGGATAGGGTGAAAGGGATGAAACTACGTATAACAAGCCTAACACTTTATTAAGTTAACATGTTTTAGGATAAAAAAAAACAGGATTTTCATCATGAGCTGACATTAGTTAGAGAACCAGTGGAAAACCTGGAAGTACTGGACAGCTGTCTCGTCCTAGTTTTGGGACTCTTCAGCAGTATGCGCACGCCGGGATTCGAACCCAGGACCTTCCGGTTACAAGGCGAGCTATCTCGTAGACCATTAAGCCACTGGGACCCGATCCAATGGCTCATGAATTCAAACTTCTGCCAATTCACGACATAGCTGCTGAAGAGTCCCAAAACTAGGAGGAAACAGCTGTCCAGTACTCCCAGGTTTTCCAATGGTTCTCTAACTAATGTCAACTCGTGATGAAAATCCTGTAACCAATCAAATCCTTACAAACTGATACTTGAATAAGTAAAACAGGTTGGAATGCCCAAGCTATGTCCCAGTTATCTAAGTGTCTAGATTTCGTGAACTGAGTCTCTTTACTCCTTTAACTAACGTTGTACACCACAACTCAACAATGCTCACTCAGTGAAAATGACCAGTCGATCTCCAGCTGCCATCAGGAGTACGTTAGTTCTCTTTGAAATCGTCTGCTGTATGCAAGTTGGACCAATAACCTCATTTCTATCAGAGAACTAATCACCTCTACATAGGCAAAGAAAAATAATTACATACCCTGTGATTTCTAGATATCAATGGGTCAAGTTATGATTTTTCAATCAATAACATAAGAGTAAAATTTGTGCACTATGGTAGAGTGTAATTCCATTATGGGTAAATTTTTGTTTTGATAAAGTCTCACAGTGTTATACAGTAATGTTTACTGATGACCAGGTTTGGAGTACAATTTATTGCCGCTCATAATCATATCAAGGTACTCACACGACTTCCTAACTTCATTTATATAGTTCAATTATTTTTCACTTGATTTGATTGGTAGTAGTATTTTCCATATTTCCGGTATGAGTGATGAGTCATTCCTATTGCATGTGTTGAGTGTAGACTCGATAAACAAGGATTCAGTAATCAATCTCTCTCTCCACCTACCTAGATTACTTTTTAGAATTTTAACCCTCTCCCACCCTATTGTGTGCTTGTGTGTTATTGCATGCATTGCAATTGCTGAGCTTTTTTTCTAAATTACTTATCTTTTCAGGGTCAACCATTCTTACCTTAGCTAAATTCTTATGCTCTGATAATCTGACTACCCCTGACCTACTAGTCTGACCTATGCAGTTGACCTCACAGTCATTGCAGGGTATTTTGTAAATTATATTATTTTGTCTAATTGGGTCAACTGGGTCCTTTAACCTGCAAATCTTGCATAAATAAGACTGAATATAAGGCTTTTACAGTTATACCATATAAAGAGGGGACATCTGAGACCCTACGTAGGATTCTTAACAAAGCAGGAATTAGGGTGGCATTCAAACCTACAAGCTCACTCAGGTAGGACAAGCTCTGTAGGTTGAAGCACCCAGTTGACACAATTAGTCAAAATAATATAATTTACAAAATACCCTGCAATGACTGTGAGGTCAACTGCATAGGTCAGACTAGTAGGTCAGGGGTAGTCAGATTGTCAGAGCATAAGAATTTAGCTAAGGTAAGAATGGTTGACCCTGAAAAGATAAGTAATTTAGAAAAAAAGCTCAGCAATTGCAATGCATGCAATAACACACAAGCACACAATAGGGTGGGAGAGGGTTAAAATTCTAAAAAGTAATCTAGGTAGGTGGAGAGAAAGGTCGATTTAGATATGATAGAGAAGATTTGTAGCTCAGATGGATGATTTTGAGGTGGTTATGTTCTCTGAACTGGATAGTTAATTTGTGAAGCTTTCATTGCCTTACTAGGCGACATCTTCAGAGCATACTTCAATTTGAAGTAAGCTTTTAAATTTCTCCACGAGTTTATTAATCATCTATCCTGGTGACCTTGGACGTGATTAGTTGTTTTCGTGTGTTTTCACACCATCCAGGTCACTTGTATTGGACCTGATTGCTTCTTTGACTTGAAGATTGACCCTTTGTGTGTCAGGTTTCTTTCTTATCGGTTGATAAATTTTGTCTATCTCGATGTGTCTGTTGATTGATGATTCACTGTAATGCCAGACAACCTTCTAAAAAATTCTCTAGCATTCTTGTTGTTTCCTCTGTCTAATATTTGAACGTTGTCCCAGTCGAATTGATGTCCGTAGTTGTCTGTATGTAGTGATATGAGCCTATCAACCTATCAAACCTAAAGCCCCCAAGGAAAGCACAAAGAAAATCGCCTTACCATATATAAAGGAGAAATCTAAAAGCTCACTTCGAATTGAAGTATGCACTGAAGATGTCGCCTAGTGGTGGGGCGATGAAAGCTTCGCAAATTAACTATCCAGCTCAGAAAACACAGCCAGCTCAAAAAAAGAGAGTTTGATTACTGAATCCTTGTTTATCGAGTCTACACCTAACACATGCAATAGGAATGACTCATCACTCACACCCGAAATATGGAAAATACTACTACCAATCAAATTAAGTGAGAAATAATTGAACTATATATATGAAGTTAGGAAGTCGTGTGAGTACCTTGATATGATTATGAGCGGCAATAAATTGTACTCCAAACCTGGTCATCAGTAAAAATTACTGTATTTCAATCAATAAGTTACAACACACATGTGTAATTTTATGAATGCATACAACGTACTAGTGGTATAGAGAATATACTTCTAGAATCCTACAGTAAGCTGTAACTAAAACAGATTAAAGTGATCACTTATTTATACGCTAGTCGATCAATTGAGAGCATGACAACAATATTTATTGATGCGTATATTTACACAGTGATGCTTATACGTTAAATACGTCATTTGATAAGTCAGATATTAAACACTATATGTATTCATTTTTAGAAGAAAACAAAACCAAACATTTTTATTATCAAAACAAACAAACAAACCTCAGTCAGCTGAATAGTATAATCTTCTACAACAGGCTTTCTATCTAAAGACAGCCAAAATATTTCATCTGTTTTGTAAACACGAGCTCGACATATTCGTCGTAGACATAATGGTTTCTCAAGTCGAGGAATAATAAAACGGACGACCACAGTGAAGAAAATGCATTCATCTGATTAAAAGTACAGGACAGTGAAAAAAAAATTATGGTTCGCTTTGGCCAACATAGTTAGAAAAAGTACATAATAGACAACAATATATATATAGTTGTCCAGTACAGGGCTGGACTACATTAGTTCACTTCTAGATTACAGATAGGGAGTGAAAAAGGGTAGAGCCTGTTGACCACTTCACTTATTTGGAAATTTGCATCAGCCAACGCTAGCGGGTTGATGGCTGACGAAATCACAGCAAGAATACAGAAGGCTCGTTTGGCATTAGTCAGACGTGATATCCGGCTGGTTATCGGCCAAAGGGTCTATGTACTGTTCAGAAGTTCGCTCTATCCTCCTTTATGGTTGTGAGTGAGACATGACTATTGAAAGTAGAAGATACGAAAAGACTAGGTGTCTTTGATCATACGTGCTTGTGTTCTGTCTCTCGTGACAAGTGGTATAATCAAGTGAGTAATATCGAGGTTAGGACTCAATCGAGTGCTAGGTAGGTGGGAGGGGAAATCAATCAATCGACGAGGTTGTAGAGCTACACTGACTGAGATGGTTAGGACATGTGTTATGCATGCCTAGCCTAGCCATCGACTTCCTCGAAGAGCAATATCAGCTGACTGACATAGTATGGATCAGGTTGGAAAAGCGCCAGCAGTGGTCAAACAAAAACATAGCTTTATCAGTCTATGAAACCCACAACAGTTAGTTTAAGACGGTCAGCCACGTAGGAAGGTGCAGACTACCTGGTTTGGGTCAATGGGATGGTAAACATCAATGAAGGCTGGAGACAATCGGTGATATGGTTTAAGATCCTCTCTCTCTCTCAATGGCTGGCGCAGATGCATCCACTCCTTGTGACTTATAATACCCAATGCAACTATATTACTCTTCATTATTCCTTTTGTCTCATATTTATTTTTATTATCTCTGTTTTGAACCTCTCTTTACTCTTTCCTCTTTCTTTGTGTGCTACGAGGAGAGAGTGTGGCAACTCGAACAGCTGCACATCTGTGCAAAGTTCTAAGTTGAAACCAGTCAGTTAGTCCATACAGTATACGATAGAGTTGGTTCGTCTACTACATGGATAACTAAGTGAAACAATACTACTGTTTACAATTTTGTAAGGAATTCAGTGTTCCTCTAGGCGTCAATGTGTCTATTCAACCCTGAATGTCGACTGAAATGTACTAATCAAGCATAGAATGCAGTTATTAAACTAAGTGAAATATCACTGATGTGAACTATGACACTCACTTTTATCCCACTGTTTTTTCACTCCTTTGTGTTTCGAGTGGAACGTAGGGCTACAGTCTTTAGGTTTGAAGCTTCAATAACGATGTGCTTCTTTTACGGGATGGAGTTGCTAGCCTCATGTCCATCCTTTTCTCTTTACTATGTTTACTACCGGTAAAGAGAGGTTTAAGAGTGCATCGGCCGGGAGTCAAATCTCCAGACCACGTGTGTGGTTGACGAGCGTTCTTGGTGTAATTTAGTATGAATTAGAATTATTATTATTATTATATCCTTTCATTCCTAGAGGAACATAGGGCTTCACCTGGGTGTCTACACTGCCTTCGGTTTTCTGCCAACTTTTTCACCCCGCTCCAAGTCTTCCCACATGCTTTCATCTCCTCTTCGCATGACCTCCTCCAAGTCACCCCCACACTGACGACCAACTCGCCACTTCCCTTTCGGGTTCCACTCGAGTGATGGCTTGGCGTGTGATGTCACTTGATGGTTTCCTCAGAATATGGTCAGCCAATCCCATCTCCATTTCTTCCTGCCTATTTGTTTCACAATCGGTTCCTGGTTGGTTCGCTGATTGCCAGAGATCCTTGTTTCTGATCTTTTCTGGCCGACCATCTGATCTTGAGTATTGAGCGAAGACAGCTGTTAATGAAGGTCTGAAGTTTGTTTGAGATGCTCTTTATGACGCCCCAAGTCTCTGATCCGTAAAGTAGCACTGACTTCACATTGGAGTTGAAAATCCGGACCTTATTTTTGATGACGAGTGTTGTTGACCTCCACAGAGACTTGAGAGTAATGAAAGCTTGTCTTGCTTTTCCGATTCTGGCTTTGATATCCTCGTCAGTTCCGCCTGTAGTTGAAACAATGCTTCCCAGGTAGATAAAGGATCTTCGATTTCATGCTTGCCAACCATTACAAGTATGAAATATCTACAATATTGAGGAAATCTTTGCTCCACATAAGAATCAAACCAGTTGCACTTAGCTCCAAATTCAGAAGTTTTAACATCACGATATTTTTTTAATAACAAGTGATCCGTATGAAAGTGGTTTGTGTACACGACAATCACTAATCTAGCCTATCTAAACCGAGGGGGAATATGCTGTTAGGAGTGGGTAGGTAATGATCAATTTATCCTAAAACTTGTAAAGTAAAACCACTAAAAGTATATGAAAACTCATTGTTCAAATACGCATACACACACAAACAGACAAATACTAACCCCGATTTCCAAGAACATCGAACATTGAAAATTGACTATGATTTGATGGCCAGGTGACCCAAGTGGAAAAAGAAGTTCCAGTTAGCAGATTTAATGATGCCTCTCCACGTGCGGCATTTTCTTCACCTCCCAAATAAGTTAATTCACTCTCTGATAAATAACGACCGTATCCAACACAAACGTCTAAAATACTAAGCGGTGTGAAAAAAAAAGAAATGCAGCCATACAGATAAGTAATAGATATGTTGAATAAACACCAATTTTGTATATAAGCTGTGATTCTTGGCAGTAAGACAAAAGCTACCAGAAGAATATATGAATTTAATGATCAGAGCAGTGACGTCTCTTTTCTCTTGTTTAGGAACAGGTTTTTAGTGTTAAATCGACACAGTCCTCGAGCTTAAGAAATCCATGGGGTGGGAAGAGAGTAGTGTTAGTTTAGTTGATAGTGACTAGTAGTGGAATCGATTTCATCTTATCTGGTGCCTACATCCTCAGTAAGTGATGGTGTTCCGGCTAAAACTAGAACCCTGCACCCATAGTTTGAAACTCTGAAGGTTTACCCTCTAGGCCATGACAGTCATATCTTGTGCACCGGATATCAGCTATTACTGTTTGATTTAATTTGCATTTGTGTAAATTGATTACTCCAACTGCATATACAAATTTACATGTATCTGCAGGAGCAGTTACACTGAAATGACAGAAAGAAGGGCATATCTACGATTTTCTGAACATGCACCAAAAAGCTTATGTCTAAAGGGAACAAATCCTTTAAGCAGTGTCATCACCAGGCATCTCCTCGACACGAGTCATGAGGTGGACATCGAAAAGTCGTCCAAAATTATCATTAGGCAAAAGAGCTCAATTCTCCTCAAGTTTGCTGATGCCATTTCCATCAAGTGCCTGAAACATGACTTATGCGTCCAGAAAGAAGCGGTTATCAGTCTTTCTTTGCCCTGATAACTGGATATTTTCAACCCTCTTTTATTTGAATGCGTAATGCTGAAAAGTTTCCATTGTGTATGATTATTATTATTTTTCGGAGTAGTGTTTAATATTACATATATGTATATGTATATATTATTACTGTATGCATATACTGATTGATTGATTTTTGTTTAAAATGTACTGTCTGTGCAAGTATGTTAAAGTTGTTTTTGTAGATATATTTAATAATGTCTTTGACCTTGTAAGCAGCTGACGAGAAGGCAACGAAATAAAAGATGGTACCACTTTATTCTGCAAAAACTGTAGTTCTTGTTTTGTTCAAATTCATTAAGGAGAATAAATGTATGAAATATATTCAAGTGATCAGCTGGTCATAGTGGTGTGTCTGGAGGCGTGATCAAGTCAATTTAGGCGACAACCACAAATCAGTGACACTGTAGATTTTGTTTTGTTCAAATTAATTGATTGTGTTGGACTGAAATGCTCAGTCTCTGCTAAGAATATATTAATCTTCCGAAATCATCGAAGCGTCCGTACTAACCGTCGACATGTCAACCGAGACCGATCATTTCTGTTAAAACTTAATGAATCAACACAAATGTAAGTGAACTCAAAAATGAAAAGCGGAGTGATCATATTGTGATGCACAGTATTTCTGATTGTTTCAGTGTGTAGATCGACGCACATAAGAGAAGAATGGCTACTGAAATCAGTATGACTAAGTCCTTACAGAAGGTAGACAACTGTTTATACTGAACTGATCTTGTGAAGTGAATGTACAACATCCAGTGTGAGATGACCTCTTCAACAGTTGATATGACATACATGGATGTAATAACATTGAACGCAATGGACAAGTCAACTGATATGCTAGAAGATACGCCTATCCGTCATCAGTACATTCCACTCCATTGTGACACGTAAATATAAGAAGGCAAACATTAGTCTGTGACGTTTAGGACTTTTATTGAGAAAAACCCATCATATTCATACATTTTTAACCAAAATACTATTCCGCTACATCAACAGGAAATAAAATATTCTGACTGGTTGACGATTGGCCAAAGATTAGACGATGAGACGAAAATTTGTTTAATATGTTTTTTTTTATGTCCACATCACATAAACTAGATCCAGATTTGAGAAATAAACGCCTCTATCTCTGCAGCTATTGACTTAAAATGTTGATTTCAATTTTAACCGCTTCCTTTCACATTGATACAATTTACCCTTAAAAATATAATTGTATAACAATTTAACTGAACAGTTAGTTACCTCACTGCATGTGTGTCTAATCTGCAGGTTTCGTAAAAAAAGCATAACGAGTGTCTATTTAAGGGAGGGTGACAACTTTTAATACCTACTTACAAAGAGAAGTGAATGGATACGTATCTAGTATCTCTGCTGAAAACCCCGTTTGACTACACCCACACCAAGAATCTTAGTGTATAATCTCTAGTGTAAAGTCATGGTCAGCGGGGTCCATCAAGTTGAGTGTGAGGACAAATACTCGCCAATGGCATTAGTTGGTTAGTTAGCATTATATACCGCCAAATGTTTGAATTGATGGGCCACTGAATTCCGCCTCAGTGGCTCAGTGGTGTGTGAGCTCGACTTGTCCTGGGTTCATTGTCTTGTAGGATCATGGGTCCGTACTGCCCAACAGTCCCAAACTAGGACATGATAGCTGTCCAGTACTCCCTGGCTTTCAATAGTTCTGTAACTGCTCAATTCACTTCATGATCAATCTTGAAATACAATCTTAAAACCGAAGCAAGCAATCGAATATTTAGTTTGTTGTTATTCATGTAGTTAATATTTTATCAAAAATATTTGGATACATGTTTTAACTAACCCACTAATAGGCAGATAAACGTGTCCATCAACTTGACTAATACCAACCAATAGGCGTTTAGCTGTACCTCTACGTAACTTGAACAATTCCGATTTTTCTTTTGGTACAGGAGTGAAATTAACACCAGAGCCATCGTCTTCTCTTATATCCAAATGTAAACGAAGCCTTGAAAAAAAAATATTTTTTAAAAGAAAAAACGCAATATAAAGTCAAGTGAATCAATCGACTAGAGGGGAACCATTTAATATTTTATATTTCATGGTGAAATAATTACATAATTCACTAGGTATTAAAAAATAAAAAGATGCATTTCAGACGCAGTTACTGTCCAGTTTTTAAGAAATGTGACAAATGGGTGGACTACACGTTTTCATCATAGTTGTGGTTTTGTTGAATCATGCAGCAGTTGATCAGGTAATACAAGAATGATCTAATATAGAAACAAGGTTAATTAGACAGCAACTTAAGTAAGATTGAGGTATAAGTTAGATGACGTAATATAATTGACTAAAATGTTTCAAATTAGGTAAGGGTAGCAACAGAGGTAATTACAGGTAGAGACTAAGTATAAGTGGGGTAGAGAATAATGCCATTTGAATTAGAACTGAAATTGAGCAAACAAGTTTGATGACGTAACATAAATGACCAGAAATTGAGCGTTGGTCAAGTCAGTAGCGGTGGTAGTGAGGTGTAGAAATTAAGTCGGGTAAGGGTAAAGAACAGGAAAGTTGAAAATGTAAAATATTACAACTGTAAAGACAAAATGATACTAATGAAGAGGTAGAAAGAAATAGAATTTACTTTGCAAGTATTAAGATAGATTACGTCCGTTGCAAGTGTAGTGATTGAACGAACTTCTGTATGCAGAGTTCAGGACTTAGCAAGTGAATCGCCACCGCTTCTACAGTTTGAAGAAGTCTGATTCGTACACCTTTAGAAAGGCTACTTCTTACTGTGTAGACGACTTTGAAGTCTGTTTGCGGTGTAACTTGGTGTCTGGATTCTATCAGATGCTCTAAGATAGAGCTGCGGGGGCATCGTTTTTCTCCTTTATAAAACGATGTAGTGTAATCACTCTTTGAACAGTTGAACATTCTCACCGATCTCCAGTTACTTGTACTTCCTCTTTTCAAATCCAGATTATCTATTGTGGTGTGTGGCGAGAGCTGGCTGCTAGCTAAATTGGTAGACATTAAATTACGTCAATGTCTAGGTCACTAATATTGGCCGTGAGAAAATATCAACAAGGCTGATTCAACAACCAATCACAACAGACTTAACGTAGGCAAATATGATTCGCAGATATATGGCTTAACTTTCCGAGAAACTAGAAACAATCAATCAGAAGACTGTTTTTCTGCTTGAATAAGGTATAATAATGCACTGGAAATATATATAAATACGCGCTGATTTCTGTAATAAAAGTATCTGTTGACGGCCCTTGTCTTCTGTTGTTACAAGTATACTTTTATTAAAGGGTTTTAGGTCAAAGTTAAACTATCATAGCAAAAATCACAGTGACCTTCGACGATCAATCAGAACTCAGATACAAAATAAAATCGCATAATCGTTGAAATATACACTGAAGAAAAACTGCAAACTTGATATTACACCACATAGTTGTAGCTTATGTGTTGTAAGAATGTCTCCCAGTCAATACACAGATGATCTGTAGAGAAATCGTACCATGCGTGACACTACTCTCTAACCTACTCCAAACTCTAACTTTAACCCTAGACCTTAATCTTAAGGGTCATAACTCCACCTAACAGTATCGATTTGCAGTTCAAAAAGGCAGGCGTGACTTGATTTGGCATAATATTTCATAGCATTCCCTGTGTCTGATCGGTTCTTGAAGGTCAGACCTTACCTATGGCTATGATACGTTAACTTCGCCAGTTTTAGAACTTCAGTCACTACACTAATTATATGAAAGACTCTATATTGATCTTTCTATCGCTTTTATCTTCATTCTTGACATGATTTTAGTTTTTAAAAATACGGTTAAAAGGGAATCAAATCCACTATGTATTTGATTCTACTAGAAATCCTCTCAATAAATCAAATCACGCGTCAATATGCTTCTTTTTTTTCTTTTTAACTCTATGTCAAGCGTTGTGTAAAATTTTTTAATAAAAATAGGAGTACGATTACGATAAGAATAAAGATATAATAATAATAATAATAATAATAATAATAATTGCTTTATTCCAAAAACAGTACTCATGATACAGCAAGGAATTTTCAGCATTCAGTACAATATTGCATCTAATTTACCCAAAAACGACAACAACAAAAATTAAAAATACACAATACATAATAGTAATAAAACGATTGTTGTAGCAGCTACGTAGCAAAATACTGTGTGCCATACGGAGAAAAATATGTATAAAGTACAAAATTGTAGTGGAATGAATTCAAGTGGTAAAATAAAATAAAAACTAGAAAGAACATTGTTATGACCAAGGTAAGAATTGGGTTTGACAAAACATTTTTGAACACAGAATTTAGGTCTCTGTTCACGTATAGCTAAAGCTTCGGTTATGCACCAGTGAAGAAAAAGTAAACTTTTGGAACGATTCGATTTTGCCATGTAGATCACCTTGAAGGATGAAACAAGTGGGGCTAAATGACCAGACTCTAACAGGTGATCACAAATAGACGACTTTTCAGTTCTACGTTTGCCTTTCATGAGCTAAACACTTTTGGAGAGTACGCTTACAACGTCCGATATAATCAGCTCCACAGGAGAAGTAAAAGGGTAAATGCACACGGATGTGGACATAAGCGGTAATCTATCCTTGACGCATTGTCTAATCATGTTTCGACTGATAAAAACTAGTTGCAAGTCAGCTGCAGGAAACGTGCGTTTAATACATTGAGAAAAACGATTTTTAATCAATTCAGAAATGGTGTCACCTTTGAATGCAAGACTCATAAACAGTTTTTTCTTTGGTACAGTGATTTGTCTAGAGGCGGATATTTTCTCAGCTGATTAAACATTTACAGCAAACTTATCTTATCTCAGCTTAAATAAAGGGTAAACTAATCAATTTATGTAGAATTATCTTTGAAAATAAACACAATATATTTATAAGTAGAGAATATTACAATTTCTCAAACCCAATCGGAAAAAAAATACAACCGAAAAAGAATAACATGTGATTCTAACATTCATTAGTGATTGAATGAGAGGTCCCAGTTGGATTCCTGGTCGACGGACACACCTTAAATCTCGCCTAGTTTACGCTAACCGGTAGTGAACCAAGTAAAAAAGGGGAAGGTTGGGTATGAGACTGGCAACGCCATTCCATAAAAACAACACCACTGCTATCGAAACTTCAAAGCTTAAAGCCCTACGTTCCACTCGTAATACAAGGAATGAAAATAAAAAGAAAAATTTTATTGATTCCCTGTCACGTCGTAAATGTTGCACATTGTCTATTTCGACATTTACCTGTGGTAGTCTTAATTCAGGAAAAAAAAAAGGTAACAGTAAAGAATAGACACGGACTCCAGATGACCATAAAACAGCCAATCAGATTCTCCCGGGTGAAAAGTGGTACTTAATTAACAAAGAAGTGTATCTACGATATATATATGTAATAAAAATGAATCATATAGGGCATATATCTCTAATATGCTGCAAAAACTGGTCCCAGATTCTCATAGAAGTAGTTGTTGACACATCAAATCAATGTATTCTCTATTTCGCCAGCTGTAGCAGATACTGGTTGCACATACGCAGTGTATTACTAAGGGAGAGCTTTGATTTCGAGAAGAAAGTGTTTTAAAAAATCACCAATTATGTGTACGGCTTACCAACTTATACAGACTTACTCATATAAAGTGGTTCCATCTGATTGTATAATCATCAATAGCCCGGCAATACTTTTGCAGAGTCATTATCCATACACATAATATGCATGTTTTATGCCTTCCTATCAACCCATTTTCCACAGAGAAGTCAAAAACCAAATCTGGGAGACTAGTAACCATTTGTAATGCTGAGCTACCTGATTGGTCAAATCAAGGTCATTTGACTTTGGTGTCTATTCTTTACTCTTGCCGAAATAAGAAATCAATCCAACTACACATAACTCTTAACAAAAGACAATCTATAAGGCAGTATACAATACCATATTTCAATTGTTTGTGTAACACTGGATATTAAGATGAAAATCCAACTTCGACAAAACAAAACAATAAGATGACGTAAAATTTATCTGAAACGTGTGACGATCATACGCGTAATCGTCATACATGTTTTTTATATTAGAGACGACAAGTAAGGATGTCCAAATGGTGCTGTAGAAATCTATCACACGTTTCAGATAAATTACATTTTCTTATTCTGTTGTGGAAATTCATGAGGGCAATCGACCGCTTAAAAAATCCAGCTTGTTGCATCAAAAAAATCCATTCTCTCTCTCTGTTTTCGACACTGCACATATGTGCCGCAGTTCAAGTCACCACACTCCATGTAGCACACAGAGCAAGAGAAGAAAGTAGAAGGAATGCATATTAGGGACAGTAAACAGAGCTGTGAGACAAAGGAGTAGTAATATGGAACAACAATATAGTTTCATTGGAAATCATAAGTCAAAAGGAGTGGATCTATATGCGCCAGCCGCCAATGAGAACGATTTTGAGCCATATCACCGATTGTTTCCAGCCTGCATTTGTTTTTACCGTCCCGAGGACCCCAACCAGTCAGGAAGTCTACGCCTTCCTACGTGGCTGACTGGCTTAAACTAACTGTTGTGGATTTCATTGACTGATGAAGCCATGTTTCGGTTTGACCACCACTAGCTCTTTTCCAGCCTGACCCTATATCAGCTAACATTTCCCGTCGAGGAAGGCGATGACTAGCCATACGTAACACATGTCCCAACCATCTCAGTCGGTGTAATTTCACAACCTCGTCGATTGATTTCCCCTCCTCACCTAGTACTCGACGCCTAACCTCAATATTGCTCACCTAATTATACCACTTCACACGGGAGATAGAGCACAGGCACCTATGATCAAAGACAGTTAATCTTTTCATGTCTTCCACTCTCAACGGCCACGTCTCACAACCATAAAGGAGGACGGAACGGACTGATGAGCAGTATACCCGCCCTTTGGTCGATAGTCGGATAGCACGTCTACACCAGACACGGCGTAAACTGGCTTATGCGAAACTAGCCCTTTGTCTCCGTGCGGGGGCTGATGGTACTTCCCAAAAAAACGAAGCGGTCAACGTGCTCTACCACTTCACTCCCTATTTCTAAACTAGGAGTCCGAGTAGTCCAGTCCTGTAAAAAAAATCCATTACCACTCCGCAGATTATATTTAATGCTGAGAAGTATTCAAACCCTATAGAAACTGACAGTGCAATTATTTTTAATTTCCAAAACTGTAAAATTTGGAGTATTCATCTAATCCAAACAGAACTAGTAACCAGGTTGAGACTAGGCAAATAACCCACAGGCTCAACACCAATTCTAGTCATCGAATACTTGAAAAACCTACACACACACACTGGAGAAAGAAAACAGACTACTACAGTGTAATGCACCAGAAGTAAGACAATATTAAAACAGTATAGTGTGATTAGATCTACGTGCAACAGTGATTACTTTTATCCCTTACAAGTTCACCTAAAATTACTGCATCTAATCACCTAGATAGAGTAAGCTTTACTATATCATATATATATATATATATATATATATATACTGTTGTGCAGTGAAAGTAAATGAATATAAGAAACTAAATAAGCATACAAATTAAGGTTAATCAATAAATTATTAGCATATTTGTACATAATCAGAAGACATGCAATACCAACTTGTTAGTTTACAATACAATCAAATTGAGCAGTGTATCATTTAAGTACAAGTGAATAGGGCATGATGAACGACAGCACCATGAATACTATCGTATTAGACAGATAGATGAAAGCTGTTGAATTTTGTTGGATTTCCATCCCAGTATAAGAAACAGACTAATTGATTATTATTATTATTATCGTCCAAAAAGTGGAGTAAATTTATGCCTGCACGATAGTAGAATCCAGTCAGAATCAGCACTAAGGATGAGATATTTATTTATTTTTTATTTTTGATTACAGCTTGATTCCACACCGTATTTTTGGTACATTTGTGGAATTTTCAGCGTGGATATCGGTAGCCCGAAATTCGCAGGCCGACCAAAGATATCAGGTGTGCGTCGGCGTGGGCTCGAACCCCGGACCATGTGCATGGTCGGCGAGAGTCCTAACCACTGTGCCACCGATACACATGATTACCAACCAAATGACCATTCTCAATGTATCTATTACAGTCCTGTTGCAGGTCGATAATGATGTGGGTTTGAATATTCGAGAGGACATTGGTTCCTTCAAGATTGTCTTTCTGTTTCCGACATAGAACTTTGCACATATGTGCGGCAGTTCAAGTCACCACACTCCATGTAGCACACAGAGCAAGAGAGAAAAGTAGAAGAAATGCATATTAGACAGTAAACAGAGGTGTGAGACAGAAGGAGAAGTAATAACGAAGAGCAATATAGTTTCATTGGAAATCGTAAGTCAAAAGGAGTGGATCTATATGCGCCAGCCGTCAATGAGAACGATTTTGAGCCATATCACCAATTGTTTCCAGCCTTCATTGGTTTTTACCGTCCCGAGGACCCCAACCAGTCAGGAAGTCTACGCCTTCCTACGTGGCTGACTGGCTTAAACTAACTGTTGTGGATTTCATTGACTGGTGACATATTTTGGTTTGACCGCCGTTAGCTCTTTTCCAGCCTGTCCCTACGTCAACTAACATTTCCCATCGAGGAAAGCGATGACTAGACAAGCATGCGTAACACATGTCCCAACCATCTCAGTCGATGTGATTTCACAGCCTCGTCGATTGATTTCCCCTCCTTACTTCCAAAAGCACACTTTCTTTCCTTCAAGATTGTAGATACACCTTGCTGATGTCTGTCTGTCTGTCTGTTTTCGACATAGAACTTTGCACAAATGTGCGGAAGTTCAAGTCGCCACATTCCGTGTAGCACGCGAAGCAAGAGAAGAAAGTACAAGAAAAGCATAATAGAAACAGTGAGCAGAGGTGTGAGACAAAGGAGTAATAAAGAAAAACAAAACAGTTTCATTGAAGATCATAAGTCACAGGGAGTGGATGCATCTGCGCCACTGAGAACGATTTTGAGCCATGTCACCAATTGTTTCCAACCATAGATTTTTACCGTCCCGAGGACCCCAGCCTGGAAGTCTACACCTTCCTACGTGACTGGCTTAGACCAACTGTTGTGGATTTCATTGACTGATGCCAAGTTTTTGTTTGACCGCCGCTAGCTTTTTTCCAGCCTGACCCTATATCCGCTAACATTGCTCGTCGAGGGAGGCGATGGCTTGGCATACGTAACACATGTCCTAACCATCTCAGTCTTTGTAGCTTCACGACTTCGTCGATTGATTTCCCCTGTTTACCTAGAACTCGACGCCTAACCTCCATGTTGCTCACCTTATTATGCCACTTTACACGGGAAATAGAACGCAGGCACCTATGATCAAAGACAGCTAGTCTTTTCATGTCTTCCACTCTCAGTGGCCAGGTCTCACAACCATAAAGGAGGACGGAGCGGACTGACGAGCAGTACACCCGCCCTTTGGTCGATAGTCGAACATCTCGTCTACGCCAGAGTCGGCGTAAACTAACAAATGCGAAACGTGCCCCTTGTATTCGTGCTGAGATTTCGTCAGAGATGAGTGCTAATAAGCATGAAACTTAGATCTTATGTGTTCATATCGATTACCTCTAACCACCTAACAATAAAACATCTATTCTCTTACTTTAATGAATCGTGCGCGTAAACACAACGAAAAACACTTACACAATCAGCATTCGATTTTTATTTTTTGATTCATTGTGATTTCATTTAGCCTACTAAAGTACGCCTACAAAGAGATAAAATTCCAAGCTTACTGACAGCTAGTAAACTAGCCGAGGTTTAGGACGGAATCGGTAGACGTAGTAGTCAACTTGGATATATTAGAAACATGCATAACTATATACAAACTAAATGTAGATCTATGGCAGGTTGGTTTAGGAGAACACCTTCCAACCACTGGGTCATGGGATCAGATTCCATTCAGCCTATTGAAATTTCAGCAGCCAAGTAGCATCATTAATCTCCTCACGATAGATGTGGTTCGCTGCCAACCGCGCGTCGTTAGCGCAGCGGTAGAATGCTCGCCGACCACGCTTTGACCCGAGGTTCGATTCCCAGCCAAAGACGCACTCCTTTGCCTCACTAAGCAAGTAAAAAGACTGGTAAGGACCGAAGGTTGGGCATGAGGCTACCAACCTCATCCCGTAAAAATAAACACCACTGCTACTGAAACTTCAAGCCTGTAGCTTGAAGCCCTATGTTCCATTAGGAACGTGAATGAATAAAAATTAAAAAATTGCCAACCGCATGCAAATGCAAAAAGTTGTTGAGTAACTAACCCACGTAATGGAAACGACTGGCGTATGAAGCTCACCGGCAGACGTATGGACAAAGGGCTTATTGGATGCCCTGGATGTCTGGCCCCATTCAAAAAGGCGTATGAACTGGACTCCGGTCACCGGCTGCCAATGGATAGTGGACTCCCTACTCCACTCCTACTGCCTTGTAGGTCACACTTGGTTGTGTAAAGGCTAGAGCTGCACTCTCAAACAAAAGGCCGAGCAATGCTGGGGACATCACTCGTACCCAATTCCCATGAAACTTCATCAACTCTCTTACAAACATTCGAGATGTTCATGAAGCCGGTTCATCCTCCCGTAGGAGATAGCCGAAGTAAAGAAGAAGAAGTAATGGAAATGTACAAAATCATACAACTGTTAAGATACAAATATTAACTCAAGATTAATTTCAACACTACATTTTAAGGAGAAACTTGAACATTCCACTTTTATCCTTAGTAAAGGTATGCGAAAATTATACAACTATTGATTCATATATAAATGTCGCACTGAATTTTTTAAATGTCAAATAATGCCACTATTTCACTTTTAGCGTAAAATTTTAAAATTCGCTTCCAAAATCAACTTTTAAATAGAATACTAAATTTTCTTTTTAAAAAAGGACTTACGTGATGCTTTGGGGTTCAAAAACATTTGGCTTGATAGTTGAGCCTACTTCTTCGTTTAAAATTCGATTCATGACATCGATTATTCTTAATGCCTGAAATGGGGAAAAGATGCATAATTAGTTTGTATCGACAGAAGAAACTGTGGAACTAAAAGTTTAGATATCACAGTCAGGCTCGCCTGAACCTCACTTAGTTTACTGGCCGAACTTAAACCGGGGAAAAGAGGAAGGGTTGGGCGTGAGGCTAGTGACCCTGCCCTGAAAATCAACCCAAACACTATAGAAACTTCAAAACAGATTCCACTGAATAGAAAAACGATCCGGGCACATTTTTATAGAATTATGTCAGTTACAGTTATCCTTGTTCCTTTGGGTTCCGAGTGGAACATAGGGATTCAACAACACATCTCCACTTTATCCTATTCTCTTCGGTCTTCTTTATCTGATCACACGATTGTCCATAGTCTTCCACCTTCTCGTAACATAATCTCCTCCAACGCCCAACTCGTCGTTTCCCATTCAGGTTCCACTCAAGGCAAGGCCTGGCTCGAGATGTCATTCGACGGTCTACTCAGAGTGTGTCCAATTCATTTCCACTTTTTTCTGCTTATTTGTTAAGCAATAATTTCTTGATTGGTTTGTTCTCAGAGTTTCTTGTCACTATTTCTTCCTAGTCATTTGATCTTCAATATGCAGTCATCAAAGGCAGTTGTTAATAAAAGTCCGCAATTTGTTGGAAATGCTTTTTATGACGCCTGAGCTGACTTTCTCATCCATATAGAAGAACTAACTGACTCCACATTTGTGTTGAAAATCCAAATTTCGTTGTTTTTTTTTGTATTTTGAGTGTATCATATTTTCAAACTGATTGTAGAGTGGTAAAGGTCTGCTCTTGCATTTCTGATCCAGACAGCCTCATCCGTGTTGTCGCCTATACTTGAAACTATGTTGCCCAAATATGTGAAGGAATTGACTTCTTTCAAGTTTCTCCCGCTGATATTGATTAGTGCTTGTTGTGGTCCGTTGATTGGTTATTTTCATAATGCTTTGAAGAAGCGAACAGAATTACAATAACATCACAATGGACGAAGATGAGTGAAAAAAGGCGGACGATAATACTAATACGATATAACACTACAAAATAAAATTTTCTCGACGATATACGTATGTATACATATGCTCCATCCAGCTATGAACTATGTGACCGTATTACTGCTGTGGTGAGAGCTGGCTGTTAGCCTAAGTCGGTAGACAGTAATTCACGTCAATGTCTACGTCCTCAATATTGGTCGTGAGTAAAATGAGAACAAAGGCTTTGTGTAGGCGGATACAACTAACATATAGATGACCTGACATTCAAGAAACAGTTACAAAGAGATGCAAGGTTAACTTTCTGTGAGAAACATCCACCAATCAGAAGCCTGCGTTTGCCTGCTTAACTTCCGAGAAACAACCAATCAGAAGCCTGCGTTTGTCTGCTTAACTTCCGAGAAACAACCAATCAGAAGACTGCGTTTGTCTACTTGAATAAGCTATAATAATGTACAGGAAATATATATAAATACGTGTTGATTTCCGTAATAAAACGATCTGTTACCAGCCCTTGTCTTCTGTTGTTACATTTGATGTCGCTGCCTACCGACAAATGGAAAACCTATGCCCTGCAGTTTTTGATGGAGACATATGGATCTTCGGGCAGGAGTTCAAGGCTTCTGCGCAGTTGAGTAGCATTCAAGATCAGTCAGCGATGGAGCTGCTACTTGGGACGCTGCTGGCAGGGCGGGCGAAAGCAGCATATGAAAGTGTGAGCCGAAATACCGACGAATGTTCGACAGGGTCAGGCAAACAGTTTCCAAAGTGGGAAGGACCACATATGGTCACTTCGAGATGGGGTTACGCAGACACAATTGCAATGGCGAACAATGAGAGGCGCGTGAATGTCAGCGAGCTCCAGAAATGGATACAGTGAGACAAGCCAACGATGACGCCCGCACCAAGATCAAGCCGACTTCAGTTGCAAGTATTTGACGGGGGACGAGTGTGGAGAGAGCAGCCTGCTAGCCAGTTGGTAGACATTAGTCTACGTCAATGTCTAGGTCACTAATATTGGCCGTGAGAAAATATCAACAAGGCTGATTCAACAACCAATCACAGCAGACTTAACGTGGGCAAATAAGATTCGCAGATAGATGGCTCCACATTCCGAGGTTGCCCGAAACAACCAATCAGAAGACTGCGTTTGTCTACTTGAATAAGCTATAATAATGTACAAGAAATATATACAAAATACGTGTTGATTTCCGTAATAAAAGGATCTGTTGACGGCCCTTGTCTTCTGTTGTTACACTAGGAGAACAATATTTCGACATGTTCTTCAAAGTTATCAGTTGAATAACTCTAATGCCAAATTATCAACTAGAGGGTCCTACATTCTAAATTCACCTTATTTTCATTAAACTGGTATTTAAAAAAATGGTATTTTTTCTTGTTATATAATCTAGACTGCAAGTACACGTCTAGTCATGAAGCCGCACACTCTTACTTTTCTCCTTATAGTTAAAATATTGTACACACATTAGTGGACGGTGGTAATACGCAATAATGCAGCTCTGTGGCCTGGTACGAATTTGTATACTAGGTAGGTTACAAGCCTCATTTGCATTTATGAGGTAATATGATATTACCAGGTTATCAGGCGACTTAAGTTCTTCTATACGGATCAGAAACTTGGCGGGTGGGTCACAAAGAATATTTCCAACAGGCTATTGCAGACCTTCATCAACAAATAACTGTCTTCTCTCTATACTGAATGAAAATCAGATGGCCGGGCTGGAAAGAATCACCAACAAGGAACTATGGGAACAAACAAACAAAACAAGGAGCAATCGCCAACCAACAAATATGCAAGAGAAAGTGGATTGAGATGGATTGAACACTCGTGGCTGAGGAGGCCGATGGGTGACATAGCGCGCGTCAGGCCATTGCTTGAGTGGAACCCGAAAAGGAAGCGGTGAGTGGGACGTCAGTGCAAGGGTGACATGGAGGAGATTGTGTGAAGGGGAGTTGAAAGGGTATGGACTAACATGGATGAAGGTGAAAAGTACAGCAGAAGGAAGACAGAAGCGAGTGGAGACGTGCAGTTGAAGCCCTATGTTCCACTAGGAACCCAAGGGAACAATAGTAATCATAACAAATCAAGCGACTTAAGGACTGACTTGCTACCAAGGAACAGTCCCGTTGACTAAGAGTATGTGAATAACATTTTCCATCTAGGCGACAACTTAAACTACTGAACTTCTGTGCGACAAACTTAACTTTGACATGCAATCAGTCAATCAACCAGGAGGCATTATTTCAAAAATAAAACCGCTCAAGTCAACAAATCAGACCGACAATGAACAATGACGTGCACAACAAAATGAAATGTATGCATGAAAAACATGAATAAACTGGGTTCTTTTTTGCTTTTTTCATTACACGTTTCAATGTCAAGTTCTATCCCTAACATGAAGATATCTTAACTACAGATAATAAATTTTAATCTCTCTTTTTCTCTCTCCCTTTCTCTTCAATTCGCCTTCTTGAATAATTATCTGCTGATAGTTTGACAGATATCTAATAAGAATACTACTGGTATACACGAAAATAGTTACTATGTGATATACAGTAAGTGCAGTACACATTAGAAGAAACTAAAACAGATAGTGCAATACACCTAACCCACCCATACATGCCATTTAATATTTCAGTGTCTTATTATAACGTAAATAGAGTAGCATTGTATCGACATCTAATTTGGAATAATAACAGACAAAAACTGAACAGTTCAAAAAAGAAAGCTCTCCAAATTGTCATTCAAAAGTTTACAAGAACTGTAGAAAAATGTAGAAGGCTTCTATCATCATCATATGTCAATAATCAACTTGTCAGATAGAGAAAGAATGAATATACAGTAAAGGTAAGTAGATGTCAAAATATCAATTATAAAATGAAAATCAATACAAGAAGGCGAATTAAAGTATGATGATGAGGACTTGGTCATTATTATACGATCACAAAATTCCAATTGTCAATAGAAAAGGTCTTACAAAACTTATTTCAATCATTCAGCTGTGGGTTCGAACCCCAATCTATGTATTGGGATTTAGGTAATTTCAAAAGATAGTGAATAATAGGTTTGGCAGGAGGATTTCATCAAGAGCTGACATCAGTTAGAGAACTATTGGAAAACCTGCAGGGAGTACTGTACAGCTGTTTTGTCCTAATTTGGGATTCTTCATCAGTACGCACCCACCACAGGAGTTCAAACCCAGGACCTTCTGGTTACAAGGCGAGCTAGCTCGTAGACCACTAAGCCACTGGGACCTGATCCAATGGCCCATGAATTCTAACTTCTGCCAATTCACGGAATTGCGCTACCCAGTGGATGCGTACTGATGAAGAGTCCCAAACTAGGAGGAGACAGATGTGCAGTACTCCCATCTGTTTTTCTAATGGTCCTCTAACTGATGTCACCTCATGGTGAAATCCCCCAACCAATCAAACGAAGAAAATCAATACTTGAATAATAGGTTTGACTCATCTCCACCTGGGTGTAGATTCACTGAAGGCATATTAGCCAATGCAAACTTCTGTTGCATTACACATAAAGAGATAGCCAAAATTTATCAGGATTTTTAAGGTATGGTTACACGACACATTGTATCGAAATGATAAGTCATTATATAAATACAGATTAAGAGGTAGTGTTGCAGACATGACTAATAGCAGCACATGAAATATCTATAGATATAATTTTCATTTCCATGCACAAAGTTTAATATTTCTTTAAAAACAATATTTTGGAATTATAAGCACATACTAGTTACTGTTCACTAGGCTCTTATCAGTCCCCCGAATGGTATGACGCTAGCGGGCGTTAAGTATATCATACGGTGAAAATGTATTGCTAAACAGTTAACGAGTATTATTATTATTATGCGGCAAATACTTAGGCAGCACACTCACACGGAATCGCATTCTACTAAAGAGCTCAAGATTTAATTCAATATTATCTCTTAGGCATATATTTTCCCATTAATGATACACTATGAGGCAGGATTAACAGTTTCAGAGCCTAGTAGTTTACTCTGCAATTCAGGCATCAATAATAGTGTCACGAATGACAACTTAGGGCTTTATTCAAGTTATGAGTACATCAATCATGTATTTACCCTACTACAATCTGCTTAAACACCACCATGCTTGTATTGTAGGCTAACGCTTGTTAGATTTCTTGATATTAAGGCTATCTTCGATTTCTTAGACAAGACAAGACAAAACTGCTCTTTGGAATCTCATGTTACAGAAGAATATCTTTAAGGGGAAATACTACTATTGTAACAACAAAAGATAACGGTCAGAAAACAGATCGTTTATTTACGAAATCAACAGATATTTATAGATCTTCATGTACATTGTTATAGATTATTGTTAGCAGAAAAACACAGTCTTCTCACTGGTTGTTTCTCATTGAAAGTTAGTCTTTTATCTCTTTGTGACTGTTTCTCGAACGTCGGATCATCTGTATGTTAACTGTATCCGCCCACGCAAAGTGTTCTGTGGTTGGTTGTTGAATCAGTCTTTGTTCATATTTTTCTCACGAGCAATATTGGGGACGTAAACATTGACGCAAATTACTGTCTACCAATTTGGCTAGCAGCCAGCTCTCACCACACTATTATAGTGAAGAAATATAACCACTTATAACAACTCTTTTCAATCACCAGTGAAGTTAAGCAGGGCGATCATAGAGTAAGTGGTTCAGACATCCGTGGCAATTATGCTGAAGCCCTCCATGTTTCCCTAACATTCTTTTCAAATGAATTTAAGTGGTGTATTTGTTCATTGCCACTGTTGTATCAAGTTAACACTCGTATAAATATATGGTGAACTGAAACGAGCAGACGGATGACATTAAAAAGTCTGCTAACTTTAATTCCTAAGAATTTCTTTGAAAAAATGATGATCAAGAATAAAGGTCTATTTACTTTACCAATTTACTAGACTCCAGTGCCTAAAATGGTAAAATGAACGAAGTGACCAAATACAGTCACGAATAACCCTCTTGTGTTACAAGTCAACTCATTAAACTCTTTAAAAAATATATAAATTCCAAACCTAATATGAAGTAAATTGAGCGATGGTGACGAGCAGTGGAATCCAAGGTGAGCATTTCCTCCCATTTGGGACTCGTCATCTAGGTGCACCTGTATTCCCAATTCTAATTCCACCAATCAACTTCAAGATAGATGATCAGACATTGTCGAAGCATCTGCACAAGGAGCCAACATGTCAACCTGACGCCGAGCAATTTAGTTCAATCAATCAGCGAGAAAGTTCAAATTGAGCTAACCATTGAATAGGGCTTTCTCTCTACAGTCATCCGAATTAAATATCAAAGTTTAAGAAGTAAGACTATCACTGATCATCTCATCGAAAATAATTTGAATACAACAATTTATATTACAAAGCATTTTAGACAACAACAAAAATAAATCAATAAATTACCCCATGGTATGTTTGGCAACGCAATATATATGTTTGATATGAACTTGATAAACTTTCTCCGGCTGAATCAATCGCCGCCTCATTGTTTATGCTATTCCTATGAGTTTGTGGTGTAAGAGTACCGCGAGTTAACAAGACGTAATTTGTTGTTGCAGAGTCTAGACTTTTTATTAAATGTCGAATTTCACACAATGGAAAGCAAATAAGTTGTTCATTTGTAACTGACTTAGTAATGCTACAATATAAAATATTCAAAAAAAAAACATTCATTAGACTGAAATTGCATTTTTTAAAACAAGACTAGTTTGAATTTTTTTACACATTTACGTCATTCAAATGAATATAACTCTGGGACTCTGAACTGACTTTGTGTACTTCTTCCCAAACCACAAACATTTGAAGGCTTACATCATTCAGAAATCTATGGTGAATTAAGTGGAATGAAATCAGGTGTGCAGTGTGACGGAATACTTAGATCACTGAACCGTAAACTAACTGGTGCGTCGGTGGCATAGCGGCTAGGACGCTCACCGACCATGCACATGGTCCGGGGTTCGATCCCCGGCCATGGACGCACTCTTTACCTCGCTAAGCCAGAAATAATGCTGGTAAAGAGGAAAGGTTGGGCATGAGGCTGGCAACCCCATCCTGTAAAATAAACACTGCTACAGAAACTTCAAGCCTCCAACTTGAAACCCAATGTTCCACTGGAGAACGTGAAGGTAAAAAAAGCAACGGCTAAACAGTATAACACAATTAATTATTCAAAACCAATCAACCATTGATGTGTATACAAAAGAAAAACAGTAGAAAGAATACAAAAAGAAAAGACTTACCGTAAAATGCCTTCTTTGCAAATTGGAGTGATCAAATTTACAATACTAGGGCAGTCTTGTAGATTACTTTCAAGTCCATGGAGAAACCTAGTGATTTCTGATTTATTCCATGTAGCAAAATTAGCTTTTGTTTGAAAAAAGTGAAGATCACAGAAATGAATGTATTTCACCGCTGAACTATCAGTCACATTGGTTAACCGACTTGAATCCATGCCTAATATCCCGTAATTATTATTATTATTATGCTATTTATTTCAAAGCTCCAATATTTTCTGGAATGATACACAAACACTAGCTAGACAGAAAAGAAAAATAATACACATGGAATATTACTTGAATTTCACAGTTTCGACTAATTAACAAGTTTTTCTCAGTACAATTCTACAAAATGCATGAAGAAAATTATATTTCAACTTAGGTGACCAATACGAAGCATACAATGTTGATAAAGTTTCAAGCAGGGTGCTATATTAAATGAATTATTCTTTTGTGGAATTATACTCTACCACAGTGCTCACACTTTGTCCTAGTATTGATTATGTCACACAGAATTACGGAAAGCCTTTTAATGACACTTGCCCTATACGTGAAAAACAGCTAGGTCACATTGAATTAAGACCAACCTGTCTAGTGAATAATAATCAATAATAGGACAACTCAAAAGTCACATGGAACCTTGTGTTAGGTTGACCAATACTCACTGTAAAAAAAACCACACACATACTCTCTACTTACATAAAAAAGACAAGTAGAAAACAAAAACTCCTAAAAACTTCATTTATGAACTTCATTTCTACTTTAATGATAGCTTTACTCAAACATTCTAATTATGGTCTTAAACATTTCCACTACAACACTCCCACCTACTGGTAACTTCAAAGGAACAAATATTAGTGGGAGAACCAATCAAGTGACGCATTTGGGACTATACTACTATACTATATAAACAAAGCTACAGTCAGAATCAACGCACTATTTTAGCCAAGATAGGGATAGAGCAAGTAACAGACTAAAAGTAATAGGGAGTAGCACTAAATTATCACAGTATTGACTGACTACAGTTTGAATGCCTTTAAGCCTCATAATCTCATGTCTGCTAATATCTGTGCTACGAATTTTTAGTTGGTACATTAATATTCCCTTGCGTTCCGAGAGGAACATAGGGCTTCAACAACCCATTCCCACTTTGTTCTGTTTTCTGGCATCCTCTTCAGCAGGGTCCACGATTGATCAGACTCTTTCATTTCTTCATCGCCACACGATATCCTCCATGTCACCCTAGTACTGACGACCCACTCGTCGCTTCCCCTTTGGATTTTACTCGAGGGCCTGGCGTGCGATGTCATTCAGTGGCCTTTCCAATGTATGCCCTATCCGTCTCCACTTTGGTATATTTGAAATGAAAAACAATGGTGAAGTTAAATCTGTAAATATTTATGTGTTCACTGCACATAAACAGAGATTTATGAAATAGCTGACAATTAAAGAAGAACAATAAACAATGTATCCGAGTAATGATTATCAGACTATCATTTCCTTATTTAAAAATCTTGCATAACCGGTCGATAGCACAGGTTATAAGAAACTATTTAGACTTCGTACCGATAATTTTAAATTTCCAGTCTTCCTGAAATTTGTGTCACAAGTGATTTAAAAACTTGTCAACGCAAACTCTGTCAGCTCAGCTGCTCGCTCAGTCCCATATTACGGCTGTGAGACGTAGCCATTGCAGGTAGAACATATGAAGAGACTAGATGTTTTAGACAACAGATAAATGTTATAAGAACAGAACTTGAGCAATCTGGCAGAGTACAGTCCCATCGTGGGGAAAATTTATTTGACAAAGTCTCACGTCATCAGTAAATATTACTATATAACACTGTGAGACTTCATCAAATATATTTTCTCCATGATGAGATAAATATGTTTACTATTATGCTAGGCGACGCGATATGGTCAGCATTATTGAGGTTAGGTCAAGTAAATACATTCAATTTACAAGGTTAGGAAGCTACACCGACTAAAATGACCGGGATATGTTATGCATGCCACGACACCACTCCTCTGAGTAATGTGAGCTGAATCGGATTAAACCAAGAGTTATGGGCAGTTAGAGGAAGGTGACATTAATCCACTAGGTTTTGGATTAAGCTATTCAGAGAGGTGTAGAGGTGTACGGAGGTGCAATAAAACTATATTGATCTACGATATTACTACTCTTTTTGCTTATATCTCCGTTAACTGTCTCTGTTTTGCGTTTCTTTTTACTTTTCTCTCTGGTTTTGTGTGCTGAGTGAAATGTGGCGACACGAACTGCTGCACACCAGTGCAAAGTTCTATGTTAAAAACAGACAGAGCAGACCACCTGATTGGAGTGGGAGAATCAATGGTTGAAGGCTGTTGGCGATAAAACCCGAAACCTTTATTGAGGGCACAGATATATTTATTTCCTGATATCATCCAGATCCTGAAAATCTTTACCAATATTTATAAATCCGCTCCCCCTACATATCTTTGAACACTGCAGTTTTGGTACATTTCTCTTTTATACTTTTCTATCCTCTGTCTGTCTATCTGTTTTCAACATAGAACTGTGCACATATGTGCAGCAGTTCAAGTCTCCACACTCCATGTGGCACACAGAGCAACAGAAGAAAGTAAACATGCAAAATAGAGACAGTAAACAGATCTGTGAGATAAAGGAATAGTAATATGGAAGAACAATATAGTTTCATTGGAAATCACAAGTCAAAAGGAGTGGATGCATATGCGCCAGCCGTCAATGAGAACGATTTTGAGCCATGTCACCGATTGTTTCCAACCATTGGTTTCTACCGTCCCGAGGACCCCAACCAGTCAGGAAGTCTACGCCTTCCTACGTGGCTGACTGGCTTAAACTAACTGTTGTGGATTTCATTGACTGATGAAGCCATGTTTTGGTTTGACCGCCGCTAGCTCTCTTCCAATCTGACCCTATATCAGCTAACATTGCCCGTCGAGGAAGGCGATGACTAGCCATACGTAACACATGTCCCAACCATCTCAGTCGGTGTAATTCCACAACCTCGTCGATTGATTTCCCCTCCTCACCTAGTACTCGACGCCTAACATCAATATTGCTCACCTGATTATACCACTTCACACGGGAGATAAAGCACAGGCACCTATGATCAAAGACAGCTAGTCTTTTCATATCTTTCACTCAATGGCCAGGTCTCACAGCCAGTCATAAAGGAGGACGGAGCGGACTTCTGAGCAGCACACCCGCCCTTTGATCGATAGCCAGCCGGATATCACGTCTATCTAGCCAGAGACGGCGTAAACTAGCATATGCGAAACTAGCCCTCTGTGCCCGTACTGAGATTTCGTCAGCGACCAACCCGTTGGCACTGGCTGATAGAACTTCCCAAATAAGTGAAGCGGTCAACGTGCTCTGCCACTTCACTCCCTATTTCTAAGCCAGGAATCAGTGTAGTCTAGTCCTGTAACATCATCTTGCATTTGTGTCCTCTGGAGTGTGGCAACTTCAGCTGCATTATTGCGAGAATTCTATGTTGATGAGTGAACCAATCAGTAATTCCACACAAAGTGAACGTAACCTACCAGAAAGCTGAAGTGTGTAACCGAGCGTCTCCTGCTTAATAAATTTACTAAAAAAGAGCACATCAGTACCCAATAACGTAAATCAATGCAACAGTAGGCTATTAATTTCATGGAACTAACGTTAGTGTCATTAGGTTCTCTGAGATACGTAGTTTAATTGAAAAAGTCATCGTTCTCCTCGACACCTTCAGTGCTAAATTCGCTGCTACTAAACGAGTATACTAGGTATACGGTAGAATTAAAACTGAGGAAGGTGTCAGTTTTTCCTATAAAGATGGTGAAATAAAGACGTTGAGAATCTTTCATCAACGAAATAACTTTACTGGCTTCTATGAGTTCTCATAACTTCATTTACACCCAGCAGGTTAAGTAATCGTTGCTTCTCATCGGTGCTTAAAATTAACAACACAAAACTGAGTTACGAGGGTGTCCGTCAGTTAATACCCCACGTATTTTCTACCTCAAAAAGGGAAAAGTCAGTGGTTCACCTTTTATTTGTTCGACCATCAATCAGTTAATGTAATGATAAAACTATTTCCGGAGCATATGAATAACGGTAACCAAATTTAATCAATGCGACCCGATTAACTTCACCAAAGGCCCAGACCATATGGTCGACTTATTCAATACGATATTCAAGCTATCTCTGTTTAATGGAGAGTTACTCTGAGACTGGAAAGATGCCATAGTGGCCAGCAAACACAAAGGAGGATCCAGGTACTGTCCTTCAAACTGCAAGTCTACCAGTCTCTTAATTAAGAGAGTTCTTTATTAAGAGACTGGTTAATTAATTCTTAATTAATTAAGTTCTTAATTAAGATACTGGAAGGAACCACCAAGCAAGTTGTCACGGCATTTCTGTTAAATAATTTGTTTTCCAGAACACAGTATGGCTTCCCGGGAAACCCCTTATGTCTGATAAACCTTATGGCACGAGAAAGCTTGGCAAAGTCAGGTGATGACAGGAAGCCAGTCAACATCGTTTTCATTGACTTTAATGAAGTCTTCGAAAAAAGCACCACACACAAGACTGCTCATGAAATCGAAAAGTCTTGGAATCAAGGGCAGTTTGCTAAATTGGATTAGAGGATTCGTCACAGAGCCAACTCAAGACTCTCCCTCTGAACAGGGGTATATAGTGGAGCGCCACAGGACACTGTACTCGGGTCCGTCTCATATTTCTTATATTTCAGCGAGTTACTTGGGTTTAACAAGTCCCCTATGGTTCTCTAAACAGATTACGTAACAATTTGGGGGGGTAGGAGAGGACAGTAACATCCTGAAGCTGCAAGATCTCAACAAATTGTTACTTTGGTCCAAAGTGTGCAACCATAAACACTAGACATGCAGACTTCAGCGCATACGAACTAAAGGGAATGACACATCAGTTCAGACTCATGGATCTAAGCATAATAAGTCACTACCTAAAATCGATAGCATACTGTCACATAGTGACAACTCGGAGTATTAGATATTTATCGGAAATGCACAGAGCGTTTACTAGGATCACCAAAGATATTTCCATTTCTTTATGTACGGCTCTGGTGAGGTTAGGACTGAAAAATTGCATCCAGGTGGTCATTCCTTGTCTTAAGGAGGACTTAAATAT